AGCGAGAAGGGCAAACAACTAGCCAACTAAAAAATAGAGCATGTCACAAAATGTTGCACGCATTTTCGACTTCTCAAAACAAAATCAACAAGAAAAGAAAGAAGAAGGGGCAGGAAGGAAAGGCGAAATAAAGAAAAAGGAGGGTGGAAAAGCGATCAAAGGTCCCAATCAAGTAATGGGAAAAATAACTCTCAATATCATCCTCATTCAACGGGGTACTGCCATAATAAGTCGTCGTTTGGTCCGTATTGATACTGTGACCCCTGAACTCAGTACTTGGTCACTCAATAGTCACTCGATAGCCGTCATTAGTCATGCATTCCGAAGAAACTGTTCTATATTGTCCATATAACAAGAAACTCTTTATCATTTTTCCAATGAGTGTAATTACCGATTATATCAGTAACATTAATGGAAGTGGTGAAAGTCAGAGAGTAATTTGTACGTGTTACTTGCAGTCGAATACAGTCAAATGAAGAAGGGACACAAACACTCACCATCGCTTTTTCAGTTCTCCGTTGTCTGTGCCAGAGGTAGGTTCAATTTAGCCACACTGTGAGTAAATGTTTGTTGGACACCAACTACAAAATTATATCTGCGCTTTAAAACTTGAAAACGAAATTAAGAATTCGTGATAATTTTTGAAATAGGTTCAAATGAATAGCTGCTGTAACTTGTAGAAAAATTCTACTTAACTACTTCTACTGAAGAACTGTAAGTTATTAGCACTATCGAATTTCTACAAATGCTATTATAAGTCTATGAAGGTTTAAGACCAAATATAACTAAAGACTGATATCTGGTAGTCCAAAAAACATGATAGAATTCTAATATTTTGCGTTACAGGAAAGAATTTGTGGACGTGTGACGGTTCAACTGTCAAGCAATCAAGGAAGCCTGTGAAAATACAAAAATTCCACAACACTTTTCGACGCAGATTGGAACGTTGTGGTTTCGAACAATTTTTATATTAGTTTGAAATTCTTGTAATATATTAGGCAAAAACTATTTCACTTTTTGGAACTTCAAAAATCTCACCGCACCATGTTTGTTCCACTGTTTTTCGCCGTAATTTTCAGAACATCCCTTGCGTTTCTTCAAGTCAATTTTCCTGAACACCCTTTGATGGAGTGCACCAAGTCCATCAGCGAAGAACATTTTTCTCTCGGGCGTCCTCTCGTGATAGTCCTGCCACTTGCTGAAGAATATTCAAATAGCGATGAAGTCAGGTATTTGATAGAAAAGCTTCAAAATTCAAACCGCTGGCCAATACTCGTGTTGGACACTTCTTATGAGATCGAAACAAACATGAGAAATGAAATACACTCTCATGGAAATTATATTATTTTGGCATCAGGAGCCTGCCGGGAC